CCTGGTGAAGCCCACACATTAGGTGCCAGGCTTCCGTATGTGGCTGGAGTAACCCTCCCCTTGAGTCACAAACCTACAGGTCCTGCCAGCCCCTGCTGAGTATAGCATCACCAGGGGGGGCTGAGCAGAGCTTTTCCTTTCTCCTTGTCCTCAGCTTCCCAGTCTCTCTTCCATTCCTGAGCCTTAACCCCAAACTACATTCTCCCTCCTTCTCCAAGCTTTTTTTCCCAGAGCCAGTGCCCCCCGATCATTGCAGAGTCAGTGAATGAGTAAGTAAATACATGAATAAACAAATTTCCTCATTCACATTTAAGTAGTGCCATGGAAGTCTAGGAATCAGGGTACAGGCAGGGTGGAATATGGAGAAAGTGTTCTAGATGACTTTGTATTAGATACATGAGTGTGGAAAGTGTCACCCACACACACCCCACACAGAGATAACTGAGGTTCTCTGGCATCATACCTCTGTGCCACTTCCTCTGCAGGACACACTCTCCCTGAAATCCACAGCAACACCCTTGAAGGACACTGGTTCTTGGACATATGGTGGACATTCTTGTCCAGCCTGCACCATCTCTGGCAATGCCCACAGGCAATGGTCAAGGACTATCTTTCTTTCCACTGGGAAAAGGTAGCTCTGTATATTAAATGTTCAAGATCTGCTTGGGGCCCTGTCAAATATTCTCCAGGCTGACTTGACATATGACTTATCCACACAGATGCATACACTCTAAATACATGATAAACCTTACTATGAGGACATGATACAGGTGTGGTGTAAATATCCTGACCATTCTACCATCAGATGCTAAATGTGACTGCTCACTGATGATTCTAAAATACTTGAAAATTTATTAATAACCTCTAATCCAAGGTATTTTAATTAAATCTGTGACCTAACTACATGCAAGAAATCATGTCATGCATCTTATTAACTGTGACTATGGACAAATGATTCCCCAATCTGAAACTCACAAGTCTTATCTGTGAGATTATTTAAGAATACTTTTAGTGTGATTAAATATTTTAAGTTAACTAATAAAGT